CTGAGTGAAGAAGCTGTAGACATATTCAATATGGTATGTCTTTCGCAGGCTGGGAAGGACAGTCAGACCACGCACATCACTGAAGAAACCATCTTCTGTGGCCAGTGGTCGGCGAACTGATAAAGACTTCCTGCCGTAACGCTGAGTGACACTGTCATTAACACTGGCCGCGACAAAGAAGTAGACAGTCTGACCCTCCTCCACCATTGTGACTTTCGTACCAAGAGGGCTAGCCACACAGTCAGGACAGTTAGCAGCAGAGTTTGAGCCCTTTCTGAACAAACACTTTGAAAGAGAGGGTGGCTCTCCATTTGGGTTCAGCTGGTGGAAATAGCATACGCCGTACTGAGAACTTCCACAAGAATATAAATACATAAAGAGTGTATCCAACAGCAACACCTGATTGTCTGTGTCCTCTGGAAAGTTGTGATTCTTGTCAATCTCACACAAATTGCATATGTGACACTCTGAGCCCCCCACTGGCCCAGTGCGGAGCTCCCACACCTTCTCCAGGCTTCTGTTGACAGCTTCGATCACATTCTTAGAGGCCACGTACACTTCTTGGTAAAATGAGTTGTTGACTATGTTTTGGATGGGACCCCCAGCTTGGAAGAAAGGCATTGTGTACACGACAGAGAAGTTGACAGGGCTGGGGGCCAATGACGCACAGTTGGCCAGGGCAAAGGCCAGCACAGTCTGGAACCAGACGCATGCCCACCACTGTCCGGCCCAGTGGACCATCTCCAGTCCGGGTTCCAGGGGCCCAAAGGCACAGGCGATGTGTCGCTACCTCCAGGTCTGCTGCTGAGTCAAAACCATCCTTAAACCACCCAGTGACACCTGATAAAACAAAAAGAGTAAAATAACTCATTAAACTGATAAGAAATCATGAGCTGCAACTCAAGAATTACTAAAGCTTTGATAGTTCCTTGCTTGAGAGTTAAATAACAAAGATGCCATTTTAAAGCTAGATGATCCAGGAAAGCTTTGCATAAAGATGTGAAAGAGAAAAGGGGATCTTAGCTGACTTGACTGCTTTCTCCTGGTTTAAGCTAAATGTCCTCTAGGACCAACATTTACTGAACGGACATGTAAATATTAGACAGATCTTCTCATCTAGCTCAGGCCAAGAAATCAAGTGAGCATATAACTAGCAGTACTTATATTACCTTCATTCAAGCCTTTTAAATGCATATCGCCTATTTCTTATCTAAGGTTCCTTTAGCAGGAATGGATTTTGTTTAAAGAACCACCTTTTGAACAAACAAAGAGCCGCAATCCCGTTTGTATGAAGAGGTAAAAGCTGACAGAAGAGTTCTATGTGTCTGAAACCTGTTTACTAAAACTGCTGTAAGACCATAAAATGATAAGCAGTAGCCTGTTGTTTCATGTTGTCATGATAAATTATGCCTCCTATGGGATTTGCTACTAATGAAAGTGAAAATCAATATAACAGTATTTTATTATGTTTTGCGTGGAACCCTAAATGACCCGAGGTAACAATCATCATCACCATCTCGCCTGGTCCTGATAATAAAAGCACATGTGGTCATAAAAATAAAAGCTTTCTCTGACTCACCACGGACACTGACAGGAAATGTTTAGATCATCAGACACAGTTGTGGTGGTAGAAGATGTGGATCTAACTATTTTTACTGGGGCTTTGTACATAAGCCATTCATATCTGTCTGGTCATGTTTACTCTGGTTAATCACAGGCAGAGTTTTTCAAATGAATCATCTTCTTTTATGCAAGGGAGTTGGTGGTAACATGCCAAGATAGTGACTTTTGCTCAACATGAACCAACCAAATTTAGCAAATCTACATTGTTCCATTGCTCATCCAGCCCAAGCTCTACGCAGCGTCCGAGCCCTGTCTTCATCATGAACATACATAAGTGGGTGGATCATTAACTGGACATACGGCATGACTGTTTTCTGGCCTGGCCTCTCAATTATGCATTCCTGTCACAACCCCTACGTGCCTTTCAGGGGGAAAAGATGGCCACGGACTGATGGTCATCAGACGTTGTGTAGCCTTTAAAACTACCAGGTGAGGGCAAAACTGCTCTTCGGCTCGTGTCAGAGAATTTAATCCATTTTGAACATTATATTTAACAGTGT